CGGCCCTTTGGAGGAGGCCACGCTATTCGTGAGTCGGCCATGGGACTAATGGGATGAACGACGATCATTCACTCTGTTGCACGTCCCTGGAACAACTGCTGTTAACAATGGCTGGTCAGGGTGCGGTAGACGAGGTTCACAGATCTCAACGCCACATGACGACCCCTGTGGTGGGCAGGACAGGAAGAAGAGGAGGATGTAGAGTAGGACATTGGTGCCACAGGCAAGTATTGAGTGAAATGGGTGGGTTTTTTTCCACTCAGCGGACATGAGTGGAGGAGCAGGAGCATCGGTAGAGGCGGGAGGAGGAGAGGACAGAGGACCCAGACCCGCACCGTGAGTCAGTATGCTTGTGGAGATGGAGGCGAAGGTGAGTCCCTCGCATTCCTTGGCAACAACAATGGCCCCCTAGCATGCTCGCTTTGCTTGCGTAGCGCGACAGCCGAATAATAACCATCAGTTACAGAGCGGATGCTTTGGCTGTCCACCTTGGTGGACCCACGAAAAGGGATCAAATTATGGTGAGCCTTTTTTCACATGCCCGGCCAGTAGCGTGGCATCGGAGCGAGTGTTTCAGTTGCGGCAGGAGGTTATTGTAACTCCGCGGAGGACACCGACTGTCCACCCAAAGTGTGGAGAGGAATCAGTTTTGTGAAAATGAATCAGGCGTGGATTAGTCTGGATTTCAAACCACCAGTTTCCTGAACAAAAGGCGGACTAAATCCGCCATGTAAATCCTGCCCCAAACATCTGTGCCACTTTCAGGTCACCTCACACTGCTGTTGTGTGATCCATTTTTTTGTCATAGGGTGCTGGCTCGGATTTACCGGGCCTCCCATAGCTGCTGCCAGGGCCCTACATCTGCCATGGGCCCCTGTACCGCTCCTCATGCTTGCTGCCCAGGGTCCACGAGTGTCTCATGGGTCCCTGTACGGCCTCCCATTGCTGCGTCTCCATCGCCCACTCCTGCCATGTGCCACTTTCAGGTCTCCTCACACACTGCGGTGGGTTCACTATTTTGTCACTTAGGGGTGCTGGCAATGATTACGGGCCTACCCATAGCTGCTGCCAATGGCCCGTATCTGCCCATGGGCCCCTGTCTTTTATACGCCTCCTCATGCTGCTAGCCAGGTCCAGAGTCAACCTCATGGGCCCCCACTGTACTAGGGCCTAATACATTGCTGCGGTCTCCATCGCCACACTTGCCATGTGCCACTTTAGGTCTCCTACACACCACTGCTGGGTGTGTTCCATTTTTTGTTCTAGGGTGCTGGAGGATGCGAGGGCACTCCATAGCTGCTGCAAGGCCCCTTAATCTTGCCATGGGCCCCCTGTACCGCCTCCTCATGCTGCTGCCAGGTCCACAGTGTCTCATGCCATTGTGTGCCACTTGTCGGGGTCTCCCTCACACTGCTGGTGTCTTACATTTTTGTTCCATTGGGTTGGCTGGGCAGATTAACGGGGCTATCCATAGCTTTCAGTGCCAGGCCCCCCCCATAATGCCATGGGCCCCTGTACCGCCTCCTCATTGGCTGCTGCCACGGTCCAAGAGTCTCTCATGGGTCCCTGTACGGCCTCCCATTTGTGCTGTTCTCCATCGCCACCACTCTGCATGTGCCATTCAGGTCTCCTCACACACTGCTGGTGTGTTCCATTTTTGTATATAGGGTTGCTGGCAGGGATTCGGGCCTCCCATTGCTGTGCAGTGCCGTAATCTGCCATGGGCCCTGTACCGCCTCCTCATGCTGCTGCCAGGTCCACCGAGTGTGTCATGTCCCCATGTGCCACTTTCAGGTCTCCTCACCACTGCTGCCATGTGTACCTTTTTTGTCATAGGGGTGCTGCACACGATTACGGGGCCTCCCATAGCTGCTTGCCAGGCCCCTTAATTGCCATGGGCCCCTTTACCGCTCATCATGCTGCTGCCAGGTCCACAGTGTCTCATGGGTCCCCTGTACGGCCTCCCATTGCTGCTGTCTCCATCGCACAACTCTGCATGTGCCACTTTCAGGTCTCCTCACACTGCTGGTGTGTTTACATTTTTTGTCATAGGGTGCTGGCAGATTACGGGCCTCCCATTGCTGCTGCCAGGCCCGTAATCTGCCATGGGCCCCCGTACCGACATCCTCATGCTGTGACGTTGCAACAAGGTGGAATTCAACCCTACATATGTTAGACCGCCTTTACGAACAGCGAGAAGGCCCATCACAGAATTCCTGATGTTACAAGCGGATAAAGGTACTCCCTGTGTAACTTAGATGTCAGCCATTGGCAGCTCATGCGTGACACCTGCCGCTTGCTCAGGCCCTTTGAGGAGGCCACGCTATTCGTGAGTCGGCAGGACTATGGGATGAACGACGTCATTCCTCTGTTGCACGTCCTGGAACAAATGCTGTTAACAATGGCTGGTCCAGGGTGCGGTAGACGTGGCGCACCACAATCTCAACGCCACATGACCCCTGTGGGGGCAGGACAGGAAGAAGAGGAGAGGTAGAGGAGGACATTGGTGCTCAGGAATTATTGAGTGAAATGGGTGGCTTTTCCACTCAGCGGACAGGAGTGGAGAGCAGGACATCTGATAGAGGGAGGAGGAGGAGACAGAGGACCCAGACGCACCGTGGCAGTATGCTGTGGAGATGGAGGCAGGGAGTCCCTCGCATTCCTTGGCACAAATGGCCCATAGCATGCTCGCTTGCTGCGTAGCGACAGCCGAATAATAACCATCAGACAGAGGGATGACTTTTGGCTGTCCACCTTGTTGGACCCTCGCTACCGTTCAAAAATGGTGTGCCTTTTTCACACCTGCTGAGAGGGAGGCCAAAATAACGTACTATAAAAACCACCTATGTATGTCAGTTGGTCTCTGCCTTTGTGCGCCAACGTCCATCCTCAGACACTGTGGGCCCTGTGCGCTCGCGTTCCGCTGCCATGGCAGCAGGGGAGGGGTGGGGTGGTAGGAGCAGTGGCAGCTCCACCAGCAGCGGCTGCCTCAGTCTGCAGTCGATGATGAGTAGCTTTCTTCACCAGCGCAGTGAGGAAACTACTAACCAGCCCGCAGCAGCAGCAGCATCAGGTGGACCTGGAGCAGGACCTTAAACAACAGGCTTGGGCCTACTTGGACAGCACCCTGCCAACCGAGGTAGCTGACAATCCCCTTGTCTACTGGGCAACGAAACTTGACCTTTGGCCCCAACTACTGAATTTGCCCTTGAAAGGCTGTCATGCCCGGCCAGTAGCGTGGCATCGGAGCGAGTGTTTAGTGCGGCAGGAGGTATTGTAACTCCGCGGAGGACACGACTGTCCACCCAAAGTGTGGAGAGACTCACGTTTGTGAAAATGAATCAGGCGTGGATTAGTCTGGATTTCAAACCACCAGTTCCTGACACAACTGACTAAATCCGCCATGAATCATGCCCCAAACATGTGCCACTTTCAGGTCTCCTCACACTGCTGGTGTGTTCCATTTTTTGTCATAGGGTGCTGGCAGATTACGGGCCTCCCATAGCTGCTGCCAGGCCCCTAATCTGCCATGGGCCCCTGTTCCGCCTCCTCATGCTGCTGCCAGGTCCACAGTGTCTCATGGGTCCCTGTACGGCCTCCCATTGCTGCTGTCTCCATCGCCACACTCTGCCATGTGCCACTTTCAGGTCTCCTCACACTGCTGGTGTGTTCCATTTTTTGTCATAGGGTGCTGGCAGATTACGGGCCTCCCATAGCTGCTGCCAGGCCCCTAATCTGCCATGGGCCCCTGTACCGCCTCCTCATGCTGCTGCCAGGTCCAGAGTCTCTCATGGGTCCCTGTACGGCCTCCCATTGCTGCTGTCTCCATCGCCACACTCTGCCATGTGCCACTTTCAGGTCTCCTCACACACTGCTGGTGTGTTCCATTTTTTGTCATAGGGTGCTGGCAGATTACGGGCCTCCCATTGCTGCTGCCAGGCCCTAATCTGCCATGGGCCCCAGTACCGCCTCCTCATGCTGCTGCCAGGTCCAGAGTCTCTCATGGGTCCCTGTACGGCCTCCCATTGCTGCTGTCTCCATCGCCACACTCTGCCATGTGCCACTTTCAGGTCTCCTCACACACTGCTGGTGTGTTCCATTTTTTGTCATAGGGTGCTGGCAGATTACGGGCCTCCCATTGCTGCTGCCAGGCCCGTAATCTGCCATGGGCCCCCGTACCGACTCCTCATGCTGCTGCCAGGCCCGTAATCTGTCATGGGCCCCTGTTGTCGCTTGTTGGCATATTCCGCTCGTTCAGATGCTCCTTCTCCTGCTACTCCTCTTCACGGATTCCGTCAGCAGTCTTTCTTGGAATCCATTTCCAAGAGACAACAGTTTGAGAGCACGCACACCGACGGTGCAGAAGCTGAACGTCCTCCTGTCCAAGTTGCTGCTGCCAGGCTCGTAATCTGTCATGCGCCCCTGTACCGCCTCCTCATGCTGCTGCCAGGTCCAGAGTGTGTCATGGACCCCCGTACCGACTCCTCATGCTGCTGCCAGGCCCGTAATCTGTCATGGGCCCCTGTACCGCCTCCCTCATGCTGCTGCCAGGTCCAGAGTATGTCATGGGTCCCTGTACGGCCTCCCATTGCTGCTGCCAGGCCCGTAATCTGCCATGGGCCCCCGTACCAACTCCTCATGCTGCTGCCAGGTCCGTAATCTGTCATGGGCCCCTGTACCGCCTCCTCATGCTGCTGCCAGGTCCAGAGTCTCTCATGGGTCCCTGTACGGCCTCCCATTGCTGCTGTCTCCATCGCCACACTCTGCCATGTGCCACTTTCAGGTCTCCTCACACTGCTGGTGGGTTCCATTTTTGTCATAGGGTGCTGTATGGCCTCCCATTGCTGCTGCCTCCACCGCCACACTGTGGCTCCACCCTCTGGTTTTGGCCCCGTGACTGCCCAAATGAGTGAAGTGTGCGGTGATTCTAAGATCGACGGCACTCATCTGCATGTCATACTGACTGACAGTATTATTTCTCTTCCCCAGCAGACTCCAAGGGCATTTCAATTAAAGGTACAGTGTTCTGCACTAATATAAAGGCTCTCTGAAGCCTAGAAACACCCTTTTATAAGTTAAATTCGCAGCGAATATATTCGACTCGAATCAAAATTTTTTCACGAATTCGCCGAATCAGTCGAATAGAATTTTTGAATAATTCGCTCATCTCTAGTCAATACCATGCCCATTATGGACAAGATCTCTCCCATGCTCCTTTGTATACACAGAGCTGAAGAAGGTATTTAATAAATGTAATAAATTTGCCTTCTCTTTGTCCCCCAGTCACCCGCTCTAGATTATTTTGTAATATATTTGAAGAATGTTTGGGGCTTGTACTGCTATCTTTTGCAATCTGTCGTTCGTTTTCAATTTTTGCGGCCTTGATTTCCTTTTTACATATTCTAAGTCCCATTTCTGTGTTGTGCACATCGATGCCAATATTCACACCCAGTCTAAGTATTGGAGAGCATCTCTTAGCTCTCCAATACTTGGAAAATTCGCTCTATTAAAGTTGAGTGTTTTTATGTTTCCCATATGTGCTTGTTGTTTACAGCTAACAATAAATTAAATCATGTTATGGTCACTGCTACCCAGTGTGAGAATCACAAGAAGGAATGGACAGAATTGCAAACATTCTTACAGATAAAATACATTTTTCAAATGTGTACTTGAGTATTTGGCTGGAGTTGTGCTTGAATTCAATCATTTGTACTATTTTTATGCACCTCTGCATTTTCAGCAGTGATATACCTCCTCAAACTTCTTTGCTTTGTATTGATCCGCTCCTTTCAGGAAGTTCAGTAAAATTATATCACAAAGAACAGTGCCCTGTAAGAAGAAACAATTCAAATAGGTAATCAAGTAGTATTCTAAGGACAAATTTAAACTATATTTCCAGATAATAAATCTAGACAATAACATTCTCTGATCTTATTTCTTCCTATACCTGATATATTGACTAAAGGGTGACTATTCAGATGAAAAGTTATTTTTAGGCAGGTGTAAAGACACGCTGTAAAATAAGAATGCTTTCAAAATAAAATATAATATATAAATATATATATATATATATATTTTTTTTTTAATTGTTTATTTTTTATCAATTTACAAAATGCAAAGTGAGCAAACAGAAGAAAAATCGAAATCAAATTTGGTGTGACTACCCTTTGGCTTTAAATCAGCTCCAATTATTCTATGTACATACAGTATCTCACAGAAGTGAGTACACCCTCACATTTTTGTAAATATATTATTATATCTTTTAAAGTAGTGAGTGTACATCTTGTATAACAGTGTAAATTTGCTGTCCCCTCAAAATAACTCAACACACAGCCATTAATGTGTACTCAAAGATTCTATATATAAAAAATATATACACAATATCACTGCACAGGGCAGGTAGGTATAATATCTACATTTTAATCTAGATTTTAGAGGGGAAAAAAAAAATCTCTCTCTCTCTTTACATATATATATATCCTTTGCAATAACATTAGGTCCAGTGGGCTGCATGCCACCTCATGGACTTATCTTACTTTATTTTACATTTTTAGTGAGCACCTGGTGCATAGCTGTCACTATATTTCCAGCCCTGCAACAGTGAACCTTCTGGTCTCAGCTCCTGCAGCTGCAAAATCATATGCAACCACTCTGACCACCCCCCCCCCCCCCTTTCCTTCTCCGGGCTTCATCACACAGTGTTTTGTATTATGTGAATCCAGTCACAAATTACAAGGTCTTCTGTGAATGGACAGCAAAGGGAAGGGGTGAGCAGAGCATCTGCTGAGAAAGCAGCATCTAGGGACCAGTCGAGTCCAGCCTCACCCCTCTGCAACAAGCAGATCCTGCCCACACTGCAAACACAGAGGGAAAGATAGTAGCTGAATGAAAACCAGCACCCAACCCCTAGCTACATTCCCCCCCCCAGCACCCAACCCCTAGCTACATTTCCCCTTCAGTCCTCAGAATTTACATTACATAGAATACTTAGCAGACAAATGTCCTCAATTAGACCATTTGGAGAAGAGTGCCCATTCTATGTTCATCTTCGTGTTAAAGCAGGCTAAATAAGCTGTTCTTCATATCTGAATTTGGAATCTCTACTGGTGGCATATACCAGTCTGTTGTTAACTCTACCAGACCAGTAGATCCTGGTCCAGAAGGAAAGAATCTGAAGCAAAAATACAGGGGCTTAAACAATTCTGATGGAATTTCCTAAAGAGTCCATCCTTTGTTTCCAAAATTATAAGATAAGTAGGTTGAAAGGTTGCTGCACCACATGATACAGAGCTTCACCCATTTGGCTTCCAATATGCAGCCCCAAGTATGCTTGAGCTTCAGTACCAGAACTTTATCTCCTGAGACGGGTTCGCATACAATGGTCAGCTTTTGTTCATTTATGTAAAACCTTTATTCAAATAGGAAAAAAAAAAACTGTTGGCAAGTTTTTTTTTTTTTTTTTTTTTTTTTTTTTTTTTTTTTTTTTTTTTTTTTTTTTAGTTTTTTGGTTTAGTATCTCTTGAAGATGCAGGTATCCCACCTGTGAATAGAAGCTGACAGCATCTTCCAGGCTGGGATGCAGAGGCTCTGCTCAGCATCTGCTTCCGATTTTTCTTACTAGGCAACACTTTTCAGGTTTATGCCTTTTCCCAAGCCTTACAAAGAAGCATACAGTAGTTTCTGTGCTTATATAGCATATGGGGCTCCATTGTTTTAAATCCATAAAATATGACAAAATTGTGGTTTCAAAAAAGAGATTACAAATAGTATATACAACGTGCACATGCCCTAAAACTCTCAGAACTTAGGTATAAATACATTTCTAAAATCTATGGGGTTGATTTACTGAAAACTGGAGTGTGCAAATCTGATGCAGCTGTGCATGATAGACGATCAGCTTCTAAATTCAGCTTGTTCAATTAAGCTTTGACAAAAAAATTGGTTTCTATGGAGAGCTGCACCAGATTTTGCACTTTCCAGTTTTAGTAAATCAACCCCTATATATAAATAAGCAGACCTGGAATAAATAGAAAAAAGGCACTGTAATAGCACCATATGGCCACTAGATAATAATTGTAGCAACATTTTCTCCAATGTATTGAAAAATATATAGTTATAGTATGTGAAAGTGACTGATCCATGAATATAAACATTGGTTTTCTGTGAGAACAGTATTGGTCTAATGATCTGCTTTCAATGAGTCTCCAGTGTCCCCCTTCTTAAAGGTCAGATGGTACAACCTTCATAGATTAGATGGCAAAAGAGTGTAAGGCAGTATATAAGATATTACACTGAAAATATTAGAAACTGGGTAATTGAAAGTTCTCCATCAGTGTTGTTCTTAAAAGATTTTTGACCATGATCTAGGAAGGTTCAGAAAAGACATTTTTCTTTTTACATCAGAACACCCCGTTTAGATCATTAAAAAATAATTTTACTTGAGGTTCATTATTAGAGGTGTACCAATATTAGAAGCTTTTCCAAATATGTTTCTAGATACCAAGATAATTTTGACTTCTGTGTGTGGATATGCCAATTCTTTTTTATTACCTTTTCTATGAATTGAAAAGTCAGTAAAACTGTGTAAATATATAGCATCATACTTTTGGGAGTTATTAAGGTCTGTGTTTGGGAGGGGGGTGGGGGGCTCTATGTATTTTGCATGGAAGACAAACCTCTGCAGGTGTCGAAGTCCTTGGCACAATCATGGTGTCTACGACTCTTTCCTGCCTGTCAGGCTGGCATTTGTCATGAGAATCTTCTAGAAGAACTAAAGGAAGGATTTTCCTACCTCCAGAGATGGATTGATGAGCCACCAGGCCAGGGATAACTTGGACCTGGGTTTCAAGCACATCCGAGTTGATTTATTAAAACTGGAGAGTGCAAAATCTGGTGCATCTTTGCATGGCAGCCAATCAGCTTCTAACTTCAGCTTATTCAAATAAGCTTTGAGCAGGAAGCTGGAAGCTGAGTGGCTTTTGTGCAGAGCTGCACCAGATTTTGCACTCTCCAGTTTTGGTAAATCAACCCCATTGGCTGATCCACAGATTGCAACTCCTTTCCGTATGCAGACAAAATGTTGAAATACAATAGTGTTGGACAAATGGACCTCAAATGAGGCTACCATCAGACCCAGAACTCTAATGCAGAAGCAGAGAGTCAGACAGCTCCTGGATTGTAAAAGTCTGAATCTAGGAGTGGAGAGTTTGGAGTTTGCAGTTTTTTTTAAAAAAAAACTCTTGCTCAAGCAGTTCTCCAAGCGATTAATTGAATTCAGTGCTGAATTCTTAAGGTTCAAGATCTAACTGAACCTTTGTAGAATATAGAAAGGCCGATGGACATTGACTGACAGCATCTGTGCCGACTAGGGCTACTACTCGTAGTGTTGTATGCCTGCAGCAAAACGCAGGTAGCATTGGTGTACTGGAATTATGGAGATAAGCATGATGTCAAGAGAGGCTAGAAAGTCTCCCTGATGAAAGAAAGCAATAATAGACCTGGTGACTTTTTTTTAATAGTATGTATATTATGATTTTTCCAAGATACAGTGGGGATCGAAAGTTTGGGCACCCCAGCTAAAAAAATTTGTATTAATGTGCATAAAGAAGCCAAGGAAAGATGGAAAAATCTCCAAAAGGCATCAAATTACAGATTAGATATTCTTATAATATGTCAACAAAAGTTAGATTTTATTTCCATCATTTACACTTTCAAAATAACAGAAAACAAAAAATGGCGTCTGCAAAAGTTTGGGCACCCTGCAGAATTTATAGCATGCATTGCCCTCTTTGCAAAGCTGAGACCTGCCAGTGTCATAGATTGTTCTCAATCATCGTCTGGGAAGACCAGGTGATGTCAATCTCAAAGGTTTTAAATGCCCAGACTCATCTGACCTTGCCTCAACAATCAGCACCATGGGTTCTTCTAAGTAGTTGTCTAGAAAACTGAAACTGAAAATAGTTGACGCTCACAAAGCTGGAGAAGGCTATAAGAAGATAGCAAAGCGTTTTCAGATGTCAATATCCTCTGTTCGGAATGTA